AAAAAAAATAAAAATAGTGAATACAATTGCATTTGGTGGCATTTTCTAACAGCCTCTGCCTTAAATTCACTAATTGATCTCAGCAACAATAGAGAAAAATCAGTCTTTCCTTCTCCCTGTTCTCCCACCTATCACTTCTGTCAAGGCTCCTGATTGACATGGAGTAGGATTTTTGAGGGTATTTTTGTGTTTGTAAAATATCAGGCCTGGATCTGACTTCATCTCTTTGGAGCACTCTGTGCCTTTCTGAGGGGAGCTTCTGGGGGCGTGTGAGCCAGAGAGGCAGGTGGTATCACTGATGCTCTTTTGTGGCAACTGCATCAGGAGTTCTATGAAAAGGTGAAGAAATATGAGTTACCAGCTTCTGTTCCCACTCAGAAGGGGGATTTTAGAAACTTCTTTTTTGGGGGGCAGAGAAACAAAATTTGAACGTAATTCATCTATGTTTTGAGAACGCATCTAACAGATTATTGCCCATTTCAAGATGGTGCATATACAAAACAACCAGTCCTGGATTATCCAAATACCTGACATAGCAGCAGTGTTAGGGGCAACTCTTTACCACCAGGCAACCGGTGAATCACCTGATGTAACTGAGAGCCCCATGCTCTACTTGGGAAAGTTCACAGGAACCCAAGACTTACTTTTGTCTCCCTCTTGGGCCCTTCATGCTATTTCACTAGCAGCCAGTAACCAAGTTTTTTTCCAACATCTGAAACAGCTTGATGATAGATACTGGCTTTGCCTCTTTTTGCCAATCTTGCTGTTACGCTGGAGACAGCAACAGAAGCAACATCCAGGACACCATCACCCAGTCACACAGCTCGTAACTCCACAGGTGGGTGCTGGAGAACTGCTTTACTCACTGCAGGTTGGTCTGACTAGTACCACCATTATGTAAGACCTCCTGGACTCTATCAGGGAGACTTATGCGGGTCTAATCAACTCTGCAGGTAAACACGTACCCTCCCTGCCACGTCTCTAATCCAGGGCTCAGCACAGCCTGTCTGACTAACCTTGGCTCATGTTGATGGGAAAATTATGAAGTTATGAGAAAAAGCTCAGAAAGTTTGTAGAGAACGGTCAGGCAAGATAAGGTAAAACTACAGATGGAAGTGGGATTGTTGAGGTAGGTGTCAGTAGCACTTCAGGGATTTAAGGGAAAAAACATTGTGCCAACATGGAAAGATTAAGAAACACCAAAGCAAAAAGAAAAAATCTCTCAGAAGACACTGGGGAGCCCTGGAGGATGATAAACCTTTCCTATCCTGCCTGTTGCTTGCCTGGCTAGTAAAGACACTTGGAGGTGATGAGGATACTAATGCTTAGTCTGAGGGCTTATTTAAATCCTAACCATATCTTGTTTGTTTTAATAAAGATTTTATACCTCGTGTATACATTCCTTGCAGTGTATCTTTATGCACAGTGAAAGTTGCTCAAAATGGCCCAGAAATAAGAGGATCCCTTACTCAAGGAAGTTAAGTTATGTTTGAATCCTACCATGCTCTCTCAGGAGTGTCTTGGCAGTGTGGCTGCTGTTCATCCTGTGCTGTTCTTGTGGACCATATTTACAACTTTACCCTATGACCTTCTCTGGCTGTTGTTAGGACACTTAACACTAGCCAGTCTGTCTCCAAACTGCATTGTGAAAACACCTGGACGTACTCTGTTTCTCTTCCTTAATGTCTTAGCCAGGCACAAATTGGTGGGACACATCACTAACAACAGTGAGAAACTCTCTGAAGTAGCCTTTATTTTACCTTTATTTGGCCTTCTGATTACTGGGTAGAAAGCCCTTCCTGGACAGCATGCATGGTGTGCGTGAGCCTGACGCCTTTCACAGCATCTGCAAAGTTGCCTGCTGCAGCTCGGGCTGCGCATTGCCCCTCGCCTTCCCCATTCATACACCCTCATGGGGGTCCACAGAGCCATGAGATCTGCTATCAGTGCATCAGATGTAACCTCGACACAGCAGTTCACAGTAACCACTGGGGATATGGGGATATTTCCAGTTCTCTGTTTCACCTACCACCAGCTTCACCTGCCTTCCCTCTTACTAAGTGTTGATCTTCACCTCTCTCCTTTTTTTTTTTTTTTTTTTCTCCAAATACTTGCCTCTTCTTCTGTGTGTGTGTGTGGTTTCCCCTTGGTCTTAAAAATTTTCCCAGTCTGGGAATGTCACTCATTACTTACAATCACAGGCCCGTCTTTTAAGAAGGAGCCCAAAATCTCCCCCTCTCTAACAGAGGAATTGAGTTCATGCCTATGTCCTGACTTCAGTGACATTTACATGGTTAAAATCTTGCCCTTAGGCTTTGCTGTCAGGATCCGAGGTTGGTAAATCAAGCAATTAAAGTTTAAGAGATTGCAGATTAGTATTTAAAGATATGACATTTAAATTCAAATTACCACAAAATTACTGCAATTTTGGTATGAAAAAAGCAAGCTATAAAATTGATGTATTAAACTCTGTAATTTTCTCTAAATTTTATGTTGAAATGTATTTTCAGTGATTTATGACGATACTTAATTTCATCATTCAGTATTTTCCAAAAGGTTTTGTATAACCAAAGGATGCATCATTTCCCTAGGAGGCTGAACAGTTGTTAGAAGAAATAATTGCTTATATACTACTCTATTCATATTTGGAGAAGTGTTCAAGTTTCTGAAACAATTCAGAAATGGTTCAGATTTATCTTTTTATTTTTCCCAAAAGCATTTAGTGTTCTTGGGCATAATTCCCAAGATGTCCAATGTAAAATACAAACCATTATCCTGACTGTTAAGGTATTCAATTGAAATAAAATATGAAGACAGAGGTGCTGGTATCAAGCAGCAGCATAACCACCTGTCAAAATAGGAGCCAAACTCCACACCCGCTCCTTCCCAGCCAAGCATTTCTTACAGACAAGAACATAGGAAGGGTCTCTGTCCTGGCTTGGTCCTTCTGGTCACTACCCCTTGCATAGCTGGCTATGTGGTTCCTTGTTCCGACTCACCCTGTCTGGCAGTCAGAATAGTTATCTAGAAAGTTAGTCCCTTTAGGATACAGTGATCATGAAATCCAAGTAATCCCACTATCTGGGTAAATGCTCTATGCACTAGGCAATCCTGATGAACTTCCTGAATTCTGTCTCCTCATGTTTTAAAAGGGAAAGGTAAGTAATTTCACCAAAACATAGCTATTTTAAATATAAATTTTCTTGATAAGTATCAGGAAACTGAAAAGTTGTCACTCTACTTCAGTGTATTGGATTTGCAGGGCAAAGTTTTGGTAGCAGGGGGCTACAGGGGTGGCTTCTGTGGGAAGCTGCTAGAAGCTTCCCGTATGTCTGATAGAGCCAATGCCAGCCAGCTCCAAGACAGACTGTGTGAGCCAGCACAGGCAGGATGCAGGAACAACCACAAAATCATGGATGAAATGCAAAGAGTAAATTTATTCTTGTTACCTTGCAACCCAGGGGATCTCCACAGCAGCACCCAGGCAGAAGCATTCAAGAGGCAACACACGCACCACAGAGCTTGGTCCTTGCTAGCCAGAAAAAAAGATCTCAAGCCTGCTGCTTTTGCCTGTATGTATCAGGGATTTTCGCAGGTGTACTTTTCCACTGTGCTTCAATCTTTCCCACAGCTGGGCAGGAATCTCAAGGATGTTCAATAACGTGTCTCTGAGTCTCTCACAGGTCTGTGTTATCTAAATGCAGATATTCTACCCAAAAAGCACACAGAGCAAAACAACAATTAGTATGATATATGTGTTTTTTGACTCCCAGCTGCAAGCCAGTTGAGCGTGTTTACAATCCTCCTCACCAATCTTCCACTGTATTCCCACATGGACCTGCCACTGGCCAAGGCCGAGCCCATCAGCAACCGTGGTACTGCCTCTAGGATAATGTATTTAAGAAAGGGTAAAAAAACCTGTGCACCTGCAGCTGGAGAATGATGAGTGAGAACATGTGAGAGAAACACCTCTGCAGATACCAAGGTCAGTGAAGGAAGGGGAGGCGGTGCTCCAGGTGCCGGAGCAGCCCATGATGAAGACCCTGGTTAGGCAGGCTGTGCCCCTGAAGCCCGTGGGGGTTAATGGTGGAGCAAATACCCTCACTGAAGCCTGTGAAGGACCCCATGCCAGAGCAGGTGGATGCCCAAAGAAGGCTGTGATCTCATGAAGAGCCCATGTGGGAGGGAACAGGCTCCTGGGAGGATCTGTGGAGAGAGCCTATGCTGTTTGCTGGAGCAGGTTTGCTGGAAGGACTTGTGACCCCATGGGGCACCTATGCTGGAGCCACCTGCTCCTGAAGGACTGCACCCCGTGCAAGGGATCCACGTTGGAGAAGTCTGTGGAGGACTGTCTCATGTGGGAGGGACCCCACACTGGAGAAGGGGAAGAGTGTGAAGAGTTGCGCCCCTGAGGAGGAAGGAGCAGCAGAGACAATGTGTGATGAACTGACTGCAACCCCCAATCCCCCTCCCCCTGCTGAGGAGGTAGAGAAATTGGAGGGGAGAGGTGGAGGGAAGTTGTTTTAAGACTTGATTTTATTTCTCATTACCCTACTCTGATTTTGATTGGCAAGAAATTAAATTAACTTCCCCGAGTCACATCTGTTTTGCCCATGACAGTAACTGGCAAGTGATCTCTCCCTGTTCTTATCTCAACCCACAAGCCTTTTGTCGTATTTTTCTCCCCCTGCCCAGCTGAAGAGGGGAGTGATAGCACAGCCTTGGTGGGCACTTGGCATCCAGCCAACGTCAACCCACCACATTCCAAAAGAATCTCAGATATACTTTCCCCTGGGGCATTTCTATCCAGCTGGTCTGTGTTTCCTTCCTTTTTCCTTTCTCAAGTAAGTGCTGGTTGGTTAAGCCATACTCTGAAGTGCCTCATCTCTGATTTACACAGAATACAAGGTACCAGCAAGTCTGAGGTGGTGCAGTGTTGAATATCCAAGTTTCTCTTCACATGTAGCCATTTCTCTATGAAGAAACAGTTTCAAGAGCAATTCTGGATTGTAGTAGTCAAATTTATTTCCACTGTAGAAGCACACTTGTTTCAGTAATAAAAAAATAACATTTTCTTTGCAGAATAAAAGTAATCCTGTAGTGGTATAAATATATTTACTTGCACAAGAACCCATGAAAGTCACTCAACATATATTCAGATTTAGTATTATCATAGTCCTAAATTTCAAATGGAGTTAACAAAAGATAAGTTACTTGCAGAAAGATGAGAAATATGAAGTCTGGCTCAGTTGTAATTTAAACATATATGAAATAAGAGAAAGCTTCCTTGCCGTTTTTATTATTTGAAATGAATACATTGCTTATGAAAAATACTGACAGCCTTCAGCACTGACTATTTCTCTTTGACTAATGAAAACATACTATATGCCATCAAAGCCTCTTCTGGCCGCCTCACAGACATGGCCTCAGTGCTGGCCCATTATAACTACCATCAGGAGTGTTAGTGTTCAAGCTCAGTGCTCCTCATTCTGTGCTCAGCCCTTGTGTCTCCACCCTTGAGACTCCCAGCACCAGCTACTGTCTTTCAAGGAACAGACCAGGTCTAGCAATTTCCTTCAGGGGGTCATCACAGACTTAGCAGGCAGCATGCCTGATCAATCAGGAAGTCCCCTATGCTACATATAGCATTATTAATGACCTGGTGCAACCAACAGTCCAGCTTATAGTAGGTATGGCTCAAAGTGTAACTTTATCCAGGATGAGTACTTCATGCAAAAGGAAGAATACTCTTTTCTACACTCCATTCAGTTCAAGCCATAGAACAGTAAACACAACTTGTACTTTAACTTTTAGATAATTCTTGAACTCTTTTTCTAATTGTGGGGGTGGAAAAAAAAACAAAAAGGGGAAATTAAGTTTAATGAATCAATCGCATCATGACTCTGTGTTATTGTGTTCTAACTTATGCTTATTTACTGTGTGGGCTATCGTCAGCACCATGCCCTCACAACATATGTTGATTTATTCTGATCCTTCCTTACTGTTAGTACAGTGAAAAAAGTACAAGGTTCAGCCTTGATTCTTCTCAATGTGTCTATGAGAGAAGGACACCAAACTAATACAACACAATACTGAAGACAAGAGAACATAACACTTAGTTCTGATACACTGAAAAGCAATTTCACACATAAGCTCATTTCGGTAGGCACACTGACATATTGAGCACCATTCTTTTTTTTTTTTCTTTTGCAGTTTAACATCAACATTCAACTCTGAACAGAAGAACGTTAAGCCTCTAGGACAGTTTCAGTATTAAGAAAAGAACTACCTCTATTTTACAAACATCGAAACACTAATGTTGACACTTCAGTCAAGAAGTTCACTGCAAGTGACCCTCTCTCTGAATTCGAAGGCGCTCTTTCTCCACTTGCAAGCGTTCCTTCTCAATCTGAAGCTTCTCTGACTCAAACTTTAGGAATTGCAGCCTCTCCTTCTCTAACTGCAAACGTTCTTTTTCAAGTTTTAGCTTTTCAGTTTCTAGATCCAGAGGCTGCATGATGGGTTTTTCTGTTTGTGTGAGGTCATTTTCCAGGGCAGGTTTTTCAGCATGCAGAGTCTCTAGCCTGAGTTTCTCCCACTCAATCTGAAGTCGCTCCTTCTCAATCTGAAGTCTCTCTCGCTCCAAGTCAACATGCCGCAACCGTTCCTTTTCAATTTGCAGGCGCTCCTTCTCCACTTGCAACCTTTCAGCTTCAATGTCTAGTCGCTGCTTCTCCAGCTCCACCTTCTGCTTCTCCAGATTTATAAGCAAGTGGGAATCTTCATAGGCTAGTCTAGCTTGAGCAGAGCTTAGATTTCCAAACTCTTCAATGTGGGGGAAATCTGGTAGGTCATTTTCCTTTTTTGAATCTGGCAAAACTGATGATAGAATTTCTTCTTCTTCCTCAATAGGAAACTGTAGAGAGGAATGCGATAGACAAGAATTACATTTCAGTCTTTATGCCAGCATAAATGTTACAACTTGACTGAAAAGAACATACTGGGATTTTTTTAATCTTAAAAGTTACTCAGAGCTGTTTAACTCACATTCTGTGAAATAACCACATTAGATCAAAAGACTGTTTTCTACCATTACACAGGTAGAGAAACACTCTTTATCTGAATGTTAATATCTGGTAATGAGAAACGGAAAATCAGCTTGTCAGTGGACATGCAAGAACGTACAGAAAATACTGCATGATAGATATTATAAAGCATTCAGAACCACTGACAGAAAACTGGACCTAAAAAAGCATATGTTGTTCTTAATTTTCATATAGCTGAGTGGCATGTATGTAAGCCACTAGGAATTTCTGTGACTATTTACCAGACCAGCTGGATCCACAGGCTATGTGGTATGTAAGCTAACCCAGCCTTCACTAACTTGAGGATTCCATTTCTAGAAAATATTTAACACTAATGTTTTTTACATGCTCCTAACCCTTCAAACTGTATTGAGTGAGTCAATAAACAGGACTTGTTTAACCAATTTTGCATTATCACATTTACTGTAATGCTATGACACAGATGACTACGTGGTTAGGATCATTGCTCTTGGCAGACTGCAACAACTCATGCAGAATTATAGCCCTTATGTGCTACAGATTCATAGCACACAAAGGATAATTGTCTCCCACTAAGTATGCTGCAAAAGAAAGACAAACTGAGGAATATATGGGTTCAGAAAATCTTAAGACAACGAGAGCCACTGCCAGTCCTCTAGCACTAGGGGAGACACTGTTCTTCAGCAGCTGTCAGACAGTAGTCTCCCTACCATTTAACTGCCTGTGCTGATTTTTCCCCAGCACACATCTCAACTGATCTAAGACAGGACTTGCTTTTCCCTCACCCTCACGCCCAAAGAAACCCCAAACCAAACCTATTTGAGTACTCCTTTTCGAAATGAGAACTATTTATCTGTATAGGCACAATAAAACTATCCAAACACTTGACTTCAGCTGGCTTCCTACCCCAGGACAGTCATGGTACTACTAGGAGTAACAACTCATCTACAAGATCCACAGCTGCTTATCAAATTCACACTAAAATTCTGACAGAGGTATGACTGACTTCTTCAAGTAACATTTTCATCTCCCAGGGGTTCCTTTTAAGAAATGCAAACAGAATTCTATTTCTTCCTGTATCTGTAGGTAACATAGTTCCATTTGTTAAAGAGGTGCATTACTCTTCCTCATTCATCCATCCAGACAGCCTAAGTATTAAAATAACCAGTTCCCTTCAGCAGTGCATTTTCATTCTAGTGACTGAATTAATTCTTATCTATGGCACATACAAATGGAAAATACATGTGCAAATACATATTTATACTTGAGGGATATCAATTTAATAATCAACATCCAAGACCTTACACACAATTGCAAGTTACTAGATTTGAATACCATCTCAAACATATTTGTTTCTACAGTTTCTTTAATTCACACATTCAGAAAAAACCAGAAACAGATGCTATGAAGAAACACAGCAAAAAGCCTTATGCTGAAATGAAACAAAGGCCATATTGCATATAGCTAATGTATGTCAGTCACTCACTTCAAAATTCTGCGGATCCTCTTCTTCCTCTTCTACTTTGATTTCTGTTAAAGATCCACCGGCTTCTCTGAAGTCAGTGATATTTTGCCATTCAAAACTAGATTCAATTGCAAATCCCATTTTCTCATCCATGTCTTCATTGAGAGAGTCATCTAAATTGGATGAAGGAAGGTGAAACCCAGCACCTACTACTTTGATGTTTGCATTCAGACGTTTTCTCTTCATGAGTGCTCTCCAGTCAAGGTATCGCCTTTTCACTTCTGTCCCTGTTCTTTGCTCTCCTTCACCTACAGCATTTACACACTCTGCTATTTCCTCCCAAGCTTTCCGTTTCATCTCATTAATTGTTGTATTAAGTTGCTTTGAAAAGAGTACTTCTCTCCTTTTTCTGATTTCCTTAAGGAGAGTTTGAGTTTCCTGAACGCTAAAATTGCTTTTTCTTTTTCTTTTTAATTGTTTCATTTTTTCCAGCTTTAACCTAATAATTTCACCACAGTAGACTACAGAGATGGTCTGACACTAATCACTTATTAATACAAATAAAATTTAAAAGCCAAAGAAAGCAGAGCTCAGTTCTCGTGAAGTGAATTTTCTCTTCACTTTGTAGTATTTTCCTATTTGTCAGGCTTCCTAAGAGAAAAAGAGCAAACAACATAAATCTCCAAGGTATACACTGTGTATTTTCATTTAACCAACTTGACTCCTAAGTCATAATTTAAGGAATGCATATTTTGAACTGATCGTTCATTTGATAGAAGAAAACCATTTTGTTAAACTCTGAATATAAAGTAGCTATAGACACCTTCTCTAATCTCATATTAATTATAAATCCATTAATATATCCACATCACGAACGGTTAAGGTTGAGTTGGTATTTCCATTACAAAAATACAGCTATATTCCTTCAACTCTTAAGTTTTGCCAGTTGGGATTTGTTTAAGGCTGAAATTTGACTTTCACATTTCAGTTTGAATGTTAAATTATTTCCAAAAGAAGCTAAATTTGTTATAGCATTACTTCAAAAAACATGAAATGTTTAGGTGACTGAAATTTCTGAGACACTTTAAATGAGACACCATTTTCAGAAAAAAAAAAAAAAATACTATGAAAAGCTGAAGTTTTTAGAGGCTCTTCCAACTTATCTTAATCATAAAAAAAGAACTGGAGCAGTTCTGCTGAATGTCATAAATACTAGGTCAAACAGATGTCATGCATTAGAGATGTTTTAACAGGAAACGGATTCAGGAATAAGTCACTATACACCCATAATAAAGCCCTTCTCTATCCTCACACTGCAAAACTGCTCATGTGAAATGCAATGGCAGGTTAAAAGTTCATCCAGTCCTCTACCCTCAGCAACAGCTGGTCCTGTGACCAATGCTGAAGAGAAAGTTAAACCTCATAATACACCTGACAGATTGTGCACAAGTCTGTACAGAAAGCAAAAAGTCTGAGCAGGAGAAACAAGTGACTATTAATGCAGTGATGAATATATCATAGACCACAATTCAAAAAAAAAAAAAAAAAAAAAAAAAAAAAAAAAAAAAAAAAAAAAAAAAAAAAAAAAAATCCAAAAACTGAAAGAAGAGACTGAGAATAAAAGATGGTTCTTGGTGCTTGGTAATGGTCCAATTTAGGACTCTCCTTTTGAAGTTTCTACTGTACCATGTTACCTAGCACTTTAGGTAAGTTTAAAAGATTTTAAACCAAGTAGGCCACCAATTCACTATACAGTATTTACAGTTTCAAGCTGTTGTTTGTTCACTGTTAATCTAGAATGGGCTTTTTGTCCACCTGAAGCAAATGGCTTGCAGATTATATATTCAATTGATATTAATGGACTTAATCCTTAACTTCCCCACAGCTATACAGGATTCTTAAATTACTAAGTATTTTTTTGTCCTGTTATTCTCCTAAACTTGGTTAAAACATACACATCAGCACATTACATAAAAGATCTCAATTTGAGGAATAACACACATAATAGTTTAGACATTGTTCTTCATCTCCTATGTGCTATTGACTGTCAACAAGTGGTTCACTTGCAAAGTTCCTCATAACAAGCAACATTCTTTCACACCAAACATGTAACCATGCTGGCATCAAAGATTTTTTAAAACAGTTGTATTTAGGAAACTGGTTTACTACTTCTCATTAAACTACTGTCCTCACTGAGAATCCATTTAGTTCCAATAGTTACAAGCTAGCAAATATGCAAAACTCAGTCCCAAGAAGAAATCAACTACATAAAGCATGAGTTTGTATCACCATGGACCACTTTATAGTGCTCCCATGCAGTTACCCAGCACTTTTGACTCCTCAGACTCAAGATGGAAGCTGCATGTTGCTGTTTAAGATGCATGAAACTTCCTGCCTTTCTGAAAATAAAATACTAATTGGTTTTGAGAAAAGGGAATTATTAAAAAAAATAATATAACATACTGTTTTAATGTAGACCCTTAACTTGACATGACCAGTAGTAAAAAAAAAAATAAAAATGCTGTAGTTTAAAAAGTCAGATTTACACCACAACATAGGACTGTTTCTGCTAGAATTACATAACATTTTTCTGAGATCTTTTATCTGATCTTTAAGTGTATCCCTTAACCTTCATTATTGTAAGTTTACATGAAAAGATACCTGGGCTTTCAAGGAAGCAGCATCATATTTACTTGTCTGACAGTAAATCAATTTATTTGGTACTTGCTGTGATTTTCAAACACAAATTACAGCGTTAGTGCTTTTCTATTATTATGGCAACCAAATTTCTTGACCTATGTATCAAATTCTAAGTTAATCTTGTGTAAGTTTGGGGTTCATTTTTTTAAATTAAAAGTCACCAAGCAAGTAAATTCTTCAGAAAAGTTACCTGTACACAGAACGAATTAAAAGCACTTTCAGAAGCTTCCTTGTTAATAAGGCAATTATTATGGATTGATACACAGATTAAGCTGTGATTCCTCGTTACTTGGGAATGACCAAGTACTCATATTTTCATGTGGCTTTAGAAACACACACGTTGGCACTTAACTGCTTTCAAGGTGGGGAGTGTGTGTGAAAGACAGAGATATTCATTTTGAGTTGGGTCTTCCAGGTAAAAAGAACTACACAGACTTCTTACATACAACGTAAGTTGACAAATCAGAAAGACGATATTCTTGTGAAACTTACGTTGTATGTAATACCAAGACACTGAACCTCTGTTTATAAGATCACACTTATATTTACTGAAATCAGCAAAATTTCACATTTGATTTTAAGTATATACTTAAGTGAACATTCAAGCACTTTGCTAACTATGGAAAAATGGGTCAGACTTTCCAAAGTACTTGCCAATGGGATATATCAAACCCATGAAAGTACCAGCAGATACTTAGTTGTCTCTTAAGATACCTAAATATCAGACTTACACTGAACCACAGCTGGTTTTGTCCCAAGACATACATTGGCCAATTCCTTTACTTAGTCCCCGCTGGGATGAACAAGGTTCTGGTCATTCCCTAATAACAGGGAACCACAGGATTTTAACGACTCATAAGGTATCTATAGTTACCCTCCCTAAATTTCTCAGTGCTAGTACAGCAGGATAGAGTGGGCACAGTTACAGGAAAATAAAAAAAAGGTTTTCAAAACCATTTTTCTTCATTATTTTCTAAATATAATTCTACATGAATGTGGAAGACACAGACAGCCAAGCTTTCACCTTAGCTCCAGAGAAGGTAGAGAGTTAAAACATAAACATCAGGCTATTCTGTGTGTCAGTCTCACTGCTCCTTTCACAGGTGTTGTCCATCACCTGTCTGATCTCCACAGCCATTCTCTGTGAAGTGCCTAATCGTGGTTTTAGATTTCACACTGTAAGTCAAGCACATAACCTTTAAGAATTATAATATTAACTTGGAAACTCCTGGCATCTAATTCTTTTATTATGTAAAGTTTCCTTTCAGACTTTTCTTTTCTTGCAAGTACATGTTTGATACAAGTCCCTGAATTTCCCAGTAAAGGCAGCAGCAAACCCTATTTTGAAACTCATGACTAATAAATTCCAATTGGTAAGGACATCTTACTTTTTCTAACTCTTTACTTTTGAAAGCATATTGCCTCATTAACGACAATTCCATTCTTATTAATATAAATGGGTGTTAATGAATTGTCTTAACAGTATATTGACTCCCAGCTACTGTGGGACTGTTTACCTTTCTGATACATTAACTAAAAAGCATTATTATCTAACTAAAGCTGAGGTTTGACATATTCTGTTTTTTGCTAGCATTGCTAGATAGTCTCAAGGATATTCCTCTTTAATGCAGAAAAATGAACTGTTACATGCTCAAAGTCTATAAGGGACAGGAATGGTAATAAGCTAGGATTTGTACAACATTCTAGATAGTTATAGAAGAAAAACCCCTATTGCCATTTTGAAAAGCATGATTTGCAAAAACATAACATAGAGCATGTTTAAGTTTTGCTTTCATATGAAGTCTAAACCATTAAATGCACACATTTGAAAAAAAAAAAAGTAGACAGACATTACAGTTTTTCTAAAATCAGAACTCTTAACTGCTCTACATTTTAGTGTCTTTAGGAAAAGATTCCACAGCAAGTATTATTTTCTGAGTGCAACAATTGGAAAGATGGGCAGTTCACTCAGGAAAATTATGTGGCGGTAAGAGCAGAGGTGAACAAAAAAATCTAGTCAGATCAAGCCACTTACACCACTATGAAGGTAAGAGAAAACATGTCCAAGAAAAAATTTTGTTACCAACTATATGACCAGAAGTACTTCCAGTACATGACCACAGACATCAGTTACCTGACAAGAAATAGCTATGGTCTGATCAAATGACAGACAAATCCCAGGAAATAACAGAGAATGCAGGCAGCCCCTTATGTGATCAGCCACGCATCCATCCTAAGACATGGTGCTAGCTGCAAATGCAAAATGCGTATTTTTACAGTTCAGGTAGAAATGAAAAGTGCTAGCTAGAAAAGATGAAACAATTCTGATCATATGATAATGAAAAGATTTTGAGGTCTTCCGACAGAAGGCAACATGGAGGTATGAGTTTGATGCGGCCCTGTCAGGCCAGAAGCAGCCTACGGTCAAGAAGGTCCTCGTCAACAGACTAAAGCAAAACTATTTGTCAGGATTGAAATGAAACAAGTATTGCAAAAGTAAACTGAACACTCCATAAACACACATACACTGAATAACTTTGATATACTTAATGACAGAGGCATTCACATTTTGTCTTTGAGTCTCATTTGCTCACACCTTATTGTATGATCACATGCTGGACCAACAGAAAAACAAAACAAAAAAATCCCTCACAAAACAAACAAGCAAGTAAGCAAAAAAAATTCCATACATTCAGCAGGACTGCAGGACAGTTGTCAGCATCAAACTTGAACTAGTCTTTAGAAAAATCATTATTTTTGTTTAAAGTATGGTGTCTTGATGGTTTGCCTTTTTCTTTAAAAAAAAAGAAATTTCAGAGCTTATGATTGCAGAAAAAAAGTGTTACTTTTTTTTTTTTTTTAAATAACGTCTGAGGATCTTTGCATGATACTAAAGCCTAGGGCCTTCTGGAAAACTTTGTATGTGATTCATAACGGATGGCTACCTTGGCTTGGAACAACTTAGGCATCTGTACTACGCGAGGCTTTAGTACAGGAGGACCTGGGTGTTGCCAAACACGCCACCAAAGGGACAGTCCTCCCTACAAGAAGCTTGCGGCTTGAGCACGTGGAAAAGGCAAGAGCTGCAGGGATCCAACACCACCTACAAGGTCAATTTAGCGAAGCAGAGAGGAGGTACGGAGAACGGAAAGCAGCTGTGGATTCAGGCTGCGGAATCCAGATTCGTCAGTTCCAAGTTCCCCTTCCCCTGAAGCAGCAGTGACCGCGAAGGGGAGAACGCCTCCCCTCCGAGCAGGGCGCGCATTCTGGAGGGACGAAGCAGCCCCCTCGCCAGCGGGGCTGGCCCGGTCTCGCCA